AAGCTCCACTTGAATGCTGGAGGTGCCTTTTCAATTATTCAGACAGCATATGACTCTCCTTCAATGAAACTATTGTCTGAATGGTCCATCACTATGGTGATGATGTACCTGGCTCCAGGCAGGTGACAGATACTGCTTACTGTCTTTTTAAAGACACACAAGAGTGATGTATTCTTATAAGCTGCCACCAATGCCAGAGAACAAAAGTAACAGGTAGTCATAGGAAGCTCCTTGCCTTTAGCCTTGTGATTGTCCAACTTCCTCCTGAAAATTTCTAAGAAGAGTTTCCTAGGCACCTAAGCTCAGCAAGCTCAAAACTGAGCTGTTTATCTCTTCCTTCATTCCCAAATTTCTTCTCCTGGAGAATTTTTTTATGATGGTTAACAATTCCACCACCTTACTAGGCTACTTAACTTAAATGACCTTACCCTTCTTCCTCTCTCTCAAGGCCTATATCCAGCTGGTCACCCAGTCTTGTTGATTCTTCCTCTGAAAACCGCTCAAAGTTACCTTTCCTCCTACTTTGCTATGACTGCCTTTGCACAAGCCCCCATTTTTTCTCATCTGAAATAGTGAAGTTGCTTCATTTTTCTCTCTAGCTCCTCATCATTCTTCACTCCAGTCTGAGTGACCTTCCTAACACATAAGCACCCTTGAATTTATTTTATTTGTACTTCTATTGGCTCTGTTTCTTACAGTCCAATACTCTTAGCAAGTTCTTTTACCTCAATCGGCCACCCATGCCTTATCCATGCCCCATCACCCCAACCCAACATGTTCCAGAACTTTATCCTATAGCCCATCTTCAGCCATTTGCATATGCTTTCCATCTGTTTGGGTGTTTCTCCATTTTGAATGCTCATATTTATCTTTCAAGACACATCTCAAATATTGCATTCTCCATGACATCTCCATAGATTCCTCTGGGCATATTTCATTGCTCTCTGCTTTGTATCCCAAGATATATGGTCATCCTTGTATTATTACATTCCTGAAATTAAAAGCTTTAAAGTCTGTTTCCTGCACTAGATAATGAGATTCTGAATATAAAGGGCAACATCTAATGTATATTCACATCCCCAGAGAATGTCACATTTTGTGTTGTTGAATAAATCTATCCAACTTTCATCATTTAACAACTATTTATCAAGTGCCTGTCATTTCACAAGCATTGAACTAAATACCTGGGACATAATGGTGAGCAAAACCAGATATGATCCCTGTCCTCAGGAAGCTCCCACTCAATTGCAGAAACAGATATCAAGCAAGCAAAAACAAAGATACCTGTAAAATCAAAACTGCACTAAACTGCTTTAAGTGTTCTGAAGGAAGATCCATGGTGCTATAGGACTAGGTTATGACCTAGCCAGGGAATTCAGAGAAGGATTTGAGCTGAGTTATGCCCTATGAATAGCAGTTCCTTCAATGAAGAGATGAGGGAAGACCAAAAACAAGGAGTAGTGTGTGCAAAGTCTCTGTGGTAGAAGGGAATCGAGAAAGTAGGAGAAACTGAAAGAAGGCCATGGTGGCTGGAGCACAGAAAACAAAATGAGCTTGTTGGAAGATGAAGTTGGAGAAGTAGGCAAGGTTCACACCAGGCAGGGCCTTGTTGAGAAGCGTCGTCGATCTTAAAAGAGGAACGGGAAACCACGCAGCATTCAAGCCAGGAAGAGATAAGATCATTTTGCATTTTGAGATCACTTTGGCTACTAAGTGGAGAAAAACTGGAATGTGTAAACAACAAGCAAAACATTAGGACAAAAGCCTGAGTGAGAGAAGCAGGTAACTTGGACTAGCAAGAGAAGCGGTGGTGGAGATGAAGAAAGGTGGATGGATTGGTGAGACTTTCAAGAAAGTAATAGGATTTGGGGTGGGTTCAATATATATGAAAAGATAAATAAGATTCTAAGGTAGGAGATGTTTGAGCTGCTTATTGAGCAGTACATACTACAGATTTTTAACATTTTACTGGACTTAGAAACCATTGACATTTTCTACTGCAGATCTCAGGAATGTGGGAAGAAGAGGGAATGAGGACTCTAGCTTTAACCAGTATTTCTAAGGTGGGTGATAGGGAGAGCAAAGGCAATAAAGATTTGGTGGGTCAGTGTGAGCACTGGTTCAGATGAGCTGCTAGATGTGCCATGGAAGATCAGGAGGGGAGGTGAGAATGGTCAGGGCAGGCTTCCCAGTGAGACCTCACCCGTGCCTTAGATGATGAGTAGGTTTCAGACAGTTACAGAGATGGGGAAAGGGTCTCTGGCAGGAGACCATAGGGCCCGGGTGATGACAGGGGAAGGATGAGCTATTGGGTACCTCTTCTAATTCTCCCTCTTTTCCTTTCAACTGGGAAAGAAGATAAGCAAGCTTGTTATAGATCCTGCTCCAATGAGAAGTGTCTATGTCTGAGGGCATGAATTAGTGCAAAGATGCACCATTGGCCTTTTTTGTCCTTCAGAGTTTAAGGCTGAGTGATCAAGATCTGAGATTGCAGATACTTTAAATCACAGCTGCACCCTTGGCTCAACGAGATTCATGAACAGATTTTGAGTCTACTGTGTCACAGGCAGTGCACTAAGTTCTGAGACTAGAAAGATGAATAAGATGTGGCCTCTAACCAGCATATCTTTAATCGATACAATGCCACTGAATAAAGCTAAACTGTAATATTAATAATACATGTAAGCCTTTGAGTATATAAAACAGTTGAAACAAAAATAGAAAAATTATAACTGAACAAAATCGAATATGTATTAGACAAATGTTTCTTAAATTACAATCTCCCCGGACTAGAGGCACATGAAGCAGCATGAAATGCCTGTTAAAATACAGATTTTTGCACCCAATACAGTTTACAGAATCAGACACTCTGAGGGATGAGGCCTGAGAATCAACATTTGAAACAAGTTCCCCCAGAGATTCTAATGCCCACTAGAAGTACCACCCTATTGAACCAGAAGTGAATCTGGATATTATCAAATTAAAACCCCATTTTCTATTCTGTTGCCCTTTTTAAAAAAATGAATAAATATTAAATGTGACCAGGACAAAAATCCTGGTATATCCAGCTTCAAGATTAGGATCCAGACTGGATGTGGTGGCTCACACCTATAATCCCAGCATTTTGAAAGGCCAAGGCGGGAGGATCACCTGAGGTCAGGAGTTTGAGACCAGCCTGGCCAATATGGTGAAAATCCCTCTCTACTAAAAATACAAACATTAGCCAGGCGTGGTGGTGCATGCCTATAGTCCCAGCTACTTGGGAGACTGAGGCAGGAGAATCGCTCGAACCTAGGTGGTGGAGGTTGCAGTGAGCTGAGATCATGCCACTGCACTTCAGCCTGGGCAACAGAATGAGACTCCATCCTAAAAAAAAAAAAAAAAAAAGAAAAGAAAAAAAAGAAATATTAGGATCTTAAGTAGTCAATAGACAGGGAGTTTCAAGGTTAAAATTCTCTCTGCTATCCTTCACCCGTACATAGTCGTGTTCTTATTTGCCAACGCTAAACAGAGGCCTTCCTATGTGATTATTTATGTTGTCAAGTATATCACATAAAATATAAGGCATAAATTACTCTATTTGTGGCTTCTTATCAGCTTTGAGTTCATACATTTTCAGCCTCAGTGTGAAATCAGAGTTTGCTTCTAAAAGGTATCTGGACATACAGAATTTGTAAAAAAAAAATCTATCTTTTAAGAGAAGATATCAATGTAATTTTGCCTTGTGCAGATTCTGTCCTTATTTATTTTTTACTTTAACTATGTTAAAAAGCTTTTTTCTTCCAGTACAAAAGGTGAATCCATTTCACAAGGAAGACCTCACTCAAATTGTATATGAGGGGAGACCTAGTTTCATCTTGCTGAGAGATCCTTGTTCTGTAAACCCTGTAAATAGGAGTGTGAAGGGAGAAAGCCAGAAACGGGTTTTAATATGGATGTGCAAAAAGGTTCAAGGAAAGAGGAAGAGGAAAAGAAATCAAACCTTCCGTGTTTATCTGCTCCATCTACTTCCTGCCTGTAATTTATGCCATAGGTTAATTCCTGGGGAGTAGGAAAAAGACTCACCTTGTACTACAGTTAAATCTTGTGGAGAATAAATAAAACTCCAAACACATCCCAAAGGAATGTAAGAGCAGAGGCCTCTTATTTTGCAGAGGAAAGAGGCCTCCTAAAAATGCTGCACACAGATGTTTAAGCATCAGAGAGGCATGGACTAGTAGACCCTTGGAGCAAAAAGGTGCAGAGGGAGAAATCTCCTAGTCCGGAGGAAGAATATAAACCCCAGAGTGGACAGGAGTCCCTTCCAAATTTACATGGCAAGTCAGTGGCAGAGCTGGTCTAGAAACTGCACCCCTGACTTCTAGCCCCTGCCTGAGTCTGCACTGCCCATGTAAGCTCTAAAGGACGCCATTCACTATGTGGTCCCAGTCAAATCTTTTATGTGCTATGTATGATGGCTGACCCAAAAAGAATCGTCTCATCATTGCCCCTCCCCTCCCCTCTGGAAAAATCGAAACAAAACAAAAACAAACAAACAAAAAACAACCTGGTGGCTTTGTCCTTACCAGGCAACAATTTCATTACACTTTGTCATTTAATTAGTATAAAACAGCCAGACAATTTCTAAGGATGGAAATACACGTCCCTGGTCTAATTCTTGCCTCTAGCCTTTCGAAGCTCAAGGCCTGGCTTTGGGGCAGGAGGGTCCACGTGTGCATGTGTGTGTGCACGTGTGTGTGTGTGTGTGTGTGTGTGTGTGGCAGGGGATAGAAAGCCCATCACATATACCTGGAACACAGCTTTGATTCACATCTTTCTCTGCCCAGTAAAACAACTTGTAGCCACTAAAACATCTGAGCACTGAAGCATCTTAACCACTAAAGCATGTGGGGCATTGTCATCTGACCCCACTGCCATAGGCCCCTTTTTACAGATGGCTGAATACTTTCTCAATGAGGCCATTGCACTTGCCCTGAGGGGGAGGTCCTCTCATCACTCACCTGCTGCCATTCTTTTCCAGGGCCCAGAACAATCCCAGGGATCTTAACTACCGGCTCTAATTGGGTGCATCAGCATCATGAGTAGGACTCCCTAGGTAAGAAAGGGACATATTTATGTTTCTTATCATGCGTCTACAGGGAGGAGCTGAAAAGGACTCAACAGCCTATGAAAACTTGTATTACAGATGGGGAGGAGGGATGAGGGGAGAAACAAAAAATAATATACAGCACTTTATCCAACCATTTTATAACAAGTTGAAATCAGGCTCCTTCCAGATCGAAATGTATCCTCCAGTCCCATAATTAAATTGGGAAAATGAAGCCATTTCATGCCTTTGGCTCCCTTTGATCATTGTTATTTCTGTGACTAATGTGTAACTGGAGCTGCTTTTTCTGGGGCATGAGCCTCGCCTGGGCAGCTGCTAGGAGAGTGTGGCCCGGTCTCCTATTGTCAGCGCAGGCTGACGGCGTGGCCAGGGCTCAGCAAGGTCAGGTTGGTCTCAGCCAAAGTGGACAGGAAGAGATGCACGTGCACTGACAAGCAGCTATCTGCTCCCATTCACCTCTGACTGCATTTCTCCAAGGCCTCCCTTGTCCTGGAGAACTCTTGGGTGGGAACTGGTGTTTTTTCCCTTGAAAGGAAGAGATAGAGGACATTTCAAGAGATAGGAGCAGAAAATTGCCTCTCAAATTGTAAAGAAGGTGACTTCTGAAGCTCATCATTTTAATTTTCCTTCCCCTTGGTGCCTCATCAACTTCTATTCCTGTATCCTCCCTAACCCCTCCATGCGTGCATCACAGACACACACACACACACACACACACACACTCACATTCACACGCTGGGCACAGCAGGCATGCAAGCACAGTTGGAAACTCTGTGAGTCCGTCTAGACTAAGGAAATTCAAACTAAAAAGTAAAATCTATTAATACAACGCTCTCCTCCCCATTCCCTACGGAATTTGCTCTTGCAGATTCTCTAGAGCGCCCTCATGTGACGCCCTGTTGTAATAGCATTCAAAACTTTGGAAGCATGTAAGAATCTGTTGAAACACTGTATCACCACAATTCAAAATATCATTTTTCTGGATGAATAAAGCCTAGTACTTGATAGCACAAAATGAGGATTGCTATCAATAATAATTTAATTGTACATTTTTTAAAATGCCCAAATTATTCATATTTCAGAAAGAGATGGGCCCTGCAGGGAGAGGAAGGCTTGGCTATCTTAATCTCTAGGAGCCCTGTAGAAGAGTGAGAAGACAAACAGCTGACTTTTTTCAAATTTTTAACGGCTACTTGTGGACCAAGGTGACACTCAGGAATCCCAAGAAGCTCCAGCCATAAAGGGAGTCGGTATCCTTCCTCCAATTGTAAACCCCAGCACTCCCATTGAACACACTGGCCATGCCAAAAGTTCACACACCGGCCATGCAAACAGCTCAAAGAGATCCATTCAGTACCTGGAAAGGCAAGATCACTACGGGGAGAATCAGAATCCATGCAATCGCCAGGTGGCCTTCAAAGAAGCCTCCTCCGGAAGGTCCGGAATCCCATCTAGAGACATTTCTGTCACTCTTCTCAAGCCACCTCATCATCTCTGTCTCTGCAGTTGAACTGCTGATGTTTCTGAGAGTGTGGGTTTGTTCAAAATGAAGCTTGGCAGAATCATAATTTATGGGTTAGTGTTTTATAAGTAGAGACAATTCATGACTTAGAATCTTATGAATAAATTGCTCCTGTTTTATTGTTCTCTCTGTGTGTGTGTGTGTGTATAGATATATAACTTTTCTGTTTCCACATTTACCTCTTGAGTGGGCCTATGAAACTAAGAAGAACTGTGTGAGGTCCTGAGATAGCACAAGACCTTTGCCACCCCTGTAAATGTGTGATGTGTGTCTAGGCAAAACCTTGGCAGGTCTCCAGGCGGTCCTCCTGAGTTAAGGCTCTGAATACTGTCTCTTAAAGCCCTGAGCTATGAACACAGCTTTGAACTGTACAGAGAAAGACCAAGTCAGACGGGGAGCAGCTGTATCCTTCTCCTCTCTGCTTCATTATAGACACAATTGACCTCTGGGCCAAGTCTCATTAACTAATTGAAGAGTTCATATTCACACAGTGTTTCTCAAAATGAGATTCATAGAACACGAGCATCAGAAACACCTGAAGTTGTTGGAATTGCAGCTGCCTGGGCCCCATTTGGTGCCTGTTGAATCAGAATTTGTGGTATGGGAACCTAAGATCTGCATTTCCAATACACTTATAAGTTGAGTGTCAAGCACAGTAAAGTTTGCGCAGCCTGTCCCTTAACCTTTTCACATCCCCTCAAATTACAGATTTATATTTTAACAAAAGCCTTTATTTCCTCAGATAACTGCTGTGGGGCAGCAGGGGAGATGTTGCTAAGTAAGCAGAGGGAGAAGGGCTTCCAGCACCTCTTGATTTTTTTCTGCAGAGGTAGCTGCGCATGCAGCTGGTCTGAGTTGACCTTCTATGTCCTACCCCTGTGAGTGCACCCCAGAGCTGGAGCATGCATCGAGGTCAGGCGGGCGTCCACCTGGAAGGACCTACCTGGAAACTGGATATCCAGTTAGGAGAGGAGAAGGGACTGTCAGAGAGTCAGCTCACCTCTAGAGGGCGCCAACTCAGATAAGAGGAGTTTGAACTTCTGGTCTCTCCTCCTTCATCCCTTTCTGGATGGGAAATTTTATTCAAGCTATCCCTGTATGCTTCTGTTTTCTCTGAAGAAAATGGGGACTAATATTTGTGTCTGCCTCAATAAATACATTCTTATTATAATTAATTTTGAAAGGTTCTGGGATTGGTAGGAAGGTCACATCCTCAGAGGCAAGTGTTGTGAGCAGTGGATATGAAGTTGCATGGAAGTCTTCCACATGCTCAGTCCACCTCCAAGGGAAAAGGAATGTCGGTGGGAAGTGAAGAGCTCTGAGCCCCCATATCCTCTGCTCCAGCACCCACCATCCTCTTCTTCTATTCCAGCCAGGTGAAGCTTTTTTCTATTCCTTGAACCCAACAAACATTGCTGGTCTTCATTAGGAAACTGAGGCTGGTTTTGGATGTTTCCAGGTCAGGGAGGTTGTATGTAGATTTTCTTCTGCATTGGGCACAGAGCATTGGATGGTCATTCTCATTCCCGTCTTTGGCAAGGGCTGGGATGAAGTGTGTGCTGGTGGTTTCTGAGCAGCCTAATAGAGACCTGGGCTTGGGGAGGAGGACATTTTCCTTTCAGCAGGTGCTCAAGAAAACTCAAAGAAGTGATGAGTGGAGTAAATAGAGCCTGGACTCCGTCCAGGTAGACAGGGTTTATACCCAAATCTGTCACTTACTAGTTGTATGATCTTGGTTAAGCCTTGGTTTCCTCATCTATAAAATGACTCTAAATAGTAACACTTACCTCAGAGTTGTTATGAAGATTAACAGACATAAGGTGTGTAAATCAATTACACTGTGTCTAGTACACACGACTGCTCTATTCATACTAACTATGGTGATTTGATGTTTGGGAGTCACACTTTTTAGTCTTTAAGGTCTGTGTAATCTCTCTCTCTTGTTTTATTTTATATTTCCACATTTATTCTCTATTCTCACTCCTGTTTCCTCCCATTTCCCTCTCCTGTCTTCCTTCCTGGGATTTCTTATATGTTCTTAGATTATCTCCAAAAAATACAGAACTTGGTTTTGTGTGTATATTAAAGTTTAATATCCTTAAGTAGTAATGTGCTATAAATTGTTTTCACCTTTTGCACTCAACACTAAGATTTTTAGAGGTATCCATATTATGGTTTGCCAATGGTTCTCAACTTCACTATGAAACAGAATCACTCGGGAGCTTTTGAAAATTTTCAGTACCTGGACCTCCATTCCAGTTATTCTGATTTAATTTGTCTAGGGTGCGGGCCAAGCCTCAGGTCATTCTAAAGTACAGCCAGGATTGAGAAGCACTGCTCAATCCACTGCTGTATATAAATCTAGCTCACAGGTTGGGGCTTCTCGGGCAGGGAAAGCCCCGGGGTTCACCTTTTTCTGCCTCATCAAGTCTCTGCAGCAAAATCAGGTGATGACGACCCTAAAGACAGCATTAAAAGGAAAAAGAAGAGAGGAGAAGGCAACTTGCAGCCTAAGGCATATGTAAGGAAGAGCAGAAATCAGAACTCCTACTCTGTCCTATGTCAGAGTCATGTTATTGATTCATCTGTTCGTCCATTTAACCACCCAGTATTTACTGAGCACCTCAGACATTCTGCTAGTTGCAGGGAATACAACAGTGAACAGGATAGACAGTCTCAACACTCAGTGGCTTTCATACCTGTTAAAATAAAGCTTCTCAGGCCTCATTTCGAGAGCTTCTGACCCAGTAGGTACAGGGCTTGGCTCAGGAATCTGCATCTTGAAAAACTGCAGCAGGTGATACCAATGCCTGTGGTCCTGGGAATCTTTTGTGGAAAATTGGTCTAGCCAGTTTATGAGTCAGGTTGTTGTAAGTATGCTTGGTAAGTTTAGCCCATTTCTCCCTTTTAGAATTTTTTTTGAAACAGCAGAACCCCTATTTACTGTGTGTCTTCCGCAGCAACTACAGCCTTAGAACTCTCTTCCTCTGACCAGACATTCCTATACATGATACCACCAACAATTAATTCATTGTTGCTGCTGCACCCACATCATACAGCTGCTACAGAGTCACGGTCACATTTAAGCCCTACCAAAGCTCTGCGAGGCAGGTCTCATCCTTCATATAAGAAAACTGAGGCTCATGTTGGTTAAGTGATTTTCCCAAGATAATACCTCCAGGAATTAACCACATGTCCCTCTGCTTCAAGACCTGGGCTCCTCACCACCATATTGCATGAGGCTCCCTAGAAGGCCAGGACAGTCTTTCCTCATCCTGTTATCTCTTGGAATACCCAACTACACTAACAGATGGCTATTCCAATCACAATCACTGAACCAGTTATTAGCTGTATGCTACATTCTTTACATACACAAAGTATACAGAGGAATCCCTCTCATCTGGAGTTAACTGGCACTAGTGGTTGGTTGGCTCATTGGAAGAACGTAGCTAAATCTGGGAATCATTAAAAGGTGATGTATATATACAGTAAGTATTTTATTTTAACCTGAAACATATAAATGTACATTCATGAACCAGACTTCTAATGTGGAGCCAAAGGGTTGTTTTTTTTTTTTTTTCACTTTAAGTTCTCTGACTGGAGTTTCAGTACTCTTTTTAACATAAACTATACCCATAATATATATTCTAGAATTTCTAATGTTTATTTTCTTAAAGTAGAGTAAAACATATTTGTACCTTCTAAATAAGCTAAGCACAAAATCCTATTAAAATACATAATTCAGGAATTTATTAAAATTTTAAATATATAGATAAGTTGATAGGATGGCAAAATAAACATCAAATACCCACTGCCTAAATTAAACAACTGTTAACATTTTGTCATATTTACCTTATTTCTCATGCTGGTTTGAGAGCTGCATCTACCTCCATTCATCTATCATCCATCTATACATTGCTTTTTGCTAAATATTTGAAAATAAGTTGCAGACATTATGACACTTCACCCATAAATACATCAGCATGTACCTCCTGAGAATAAGAACATGCCCCTATATCATTTTCACACCCTGAAAAGTAATGGTAACTTTAAAATAACATCTGATATCAAGGATTCAAATTTCCCCAAACATCATAAGACTGTCTTTCAGAGGTCATTTTTTTTTTCTCAATCAAGATTCAGTCTTGGTTCATGCACTGCATTTGATGTTATATTTTTTTGGCTCATAATTTTTTTTGATAGTGACTTTTGGAAGAGTTCAGACCATTTTGTAATATTCTGGATTGAACTGTTTTCTCATGGTACATAGCTTCTCTTCACCCTGTGATATAGTTTGGATATTTGTCCCTTCAAAATCTCATGTCAACATTTGATTCTCAACATTGGAGGTGAAACCTAGTAAGAGGTGTTTGTGTCATGGAGGTGGATCCTTTATGTATGACTTGGTGCTGTCATTGCAGTAATGAGTGAGTTCTCACTAAATTAGTTCTCATGAGATCTGATTGTTAAAAACAGCCTGTCACCTCTTCCCTCTTCTAATATTGGCAGAAGGTGCAGAGGGAGCAGGTATGTCACATGGCTCCCGCTCTTGCTATGTGACATGCCTGCTCCCTCTGCACCTTCTACCATGATTAGAAGATTCCTGAAGCCCTCACCAGAATCAGTTGCTGGCACCATGCTTCTTATGCAGCCTGCAGAACTGTGAGCCAAATAAACCTCTTTTCTTTATAAATTACCCAGCCTCGGGTATTCCTTTATAGCAACACAATGGTCTAAGACACCCTGAATTCACTGTAAACTGGATTAAGGTTATAAGCTCCAGTAGATTCAGGTTTAATATTTAGGACAGAATTCTTCACTGGGAATGCTATGTATTTCATATGGCACATCTTCTGCAGGTATTTTTGGCAAATAAATATAAGCATTTATCTTAAGTACATACCTAGAAATGAAATTTCTGGGTCATAGCACATACAAATGTACAGTTTTTTC